CCACCCACCCTTACAAGTATCATGTTTGTTTTATTAATTATATGTTTTTGTTTTGTAGATTGTATGAGTTGTCAAGGAGGAAAGTTGGAAATGTATATTTTGTATATAATATTAAACTGCACTTACGAGAGCGCTTCTGTACCTACCTATATACGTGTTGTTATTTATTTTATAAAATATTTATGTTCGTTTGAGTGGAAACGAATAAGAACATAATGGTAATTTCCATTCCTATATGAATATAATATATCCCTTTGAGCTTGAGATAAAAGATACTACAGAGTCTGAAACATTTGTTTCATACTTAGAAATTTTAATTGAAAAAAAAAACTGTTAATGGTAATCTAACAACCAATCTCTATGATAAATGTGATGACTTTAACTTTTCTATCGTCAACTTCCCTTACTTATGCAGCAATATACCTTCATATATCTCAGTTGATTCGATACACAAGAGCATGCTCTACGTATGAAAGTTTTCTAAAAAGAGGTAAATTACTGACAAACAAGTTACGTTGATGAAACAAGAATATCAGCAGTCTCGTTTAAATTCATCATTTCGTAAGTTCTATGGTCGAAAGAATGACCTCGTCAGCAAATACAATTTATCATTGAGTCAAATGCTAACAGACATTTTTCATACTATTATTTATACACCGAATTGACGACGGATTTTTCCGTTATTTCCCGATCATGACAAGGAGCACACAGAGGGTATGCCCGGTCAGCAGGGGATGCTCACTCCTCCATGGCCTTTAATGTTGTAGAGGTCCGTGTTTGCTGTTCATTATGTCCAAATTCTTCATTTTCCAATTCGAAATTGTAAAAAGTTTAAAGACTTTATACGCCAGACGAACGCAAGGTAAACTTTCATCAGAAAGGCTCACTTGATCCTTAGGCTCATCTGTGCTCAGAACCTTTATTTATCGATGAATATTTCCATTTCTTTTGTTTTCTCTGTGATAACTCTTTGAAAGTTAGTTGACTTGATTTCTTGATCATTCTACCGGAATGATAATTTCGCCAAGAAATGGATCAGGAATTAATAATATGGCTCAGGTGTGTTAAGACCCTGTATTTATCAATAAGTATGTAATAAAAAAACCATATCAACCCAGTAGATCCATAAAAGCCATGTAGGGTCCTTTTTAGCCCTGAAAGAATGATGTGGTTCTTACTTAATTGTGACGTCAGGCTTTTCGCATATGCAAAAAAAGTTTGTATTACTAAGTATGGAATATCTGTCCCTGTGACTACAGAAACAGATTCTGTGTTATATCATCGCCTTCTTTTTACGTGATCAGAGACGATCCCGGATATACGCGTCTGACGGATGTCACATGCACCTGGGTAACGTCTTGGAGATGGCAAAAATTGATATTGATTTACACGTGAATCCAAATGACAGGCATCAGCTTAACAACCAATGAGAACTGTTAATTTCTCTACGTTGGCCATTAATAAAGTCATATATACATGTAATTGTTGTTTCTGAGATTGCTTTGATTGTGAAAACACAATTATAGTGTAAAATAAACAAGATGGGAAACGCAAGTGAAATTTCTACGACAATGTTAAATCACACCACCAGAAATTTTTCTTATGTGTTCTCCATTCCAGAACCACCAAAGTATATCATCATCGTCGCAAGTGTAATGTATTCCCTCATTTTCATCGCTGGATTCATCGCCAACATCTCAGTTGTCGTCGTTGTTTGCGCTGTGAAACGAGTAAGATCTCGAATGAGTTTTCTGTTTGCAAACTTAAGTGTTGCAGATCTTCTCGTCTTGCTTGTTTGTATGCCATCGGCCGCCATCGACCTTTTTGCGAAAGAAGTGTGGTATCTTGGTGAATTCATGTGTAAGTGGCCTTTTTCATTGTTAATACTCCTTACTGATAAAGGCAACCTTTGATATGTAAATGTATACGATTTTATATAACAAAAATTTGACATTTTACCTTCACCAAAATAGTCCGAGAGAGAGAGAGAGAGAGAGAGAGAGAGAGAGAGAGAGAGAGAGAGAGAGGACGTAAATTATCAAACAACGTAACTATACTCTTAAGGAACCACTGACTAGTTTGTTGGGTATGCCATCAACAATAGTTGGAATCGTTGGTTAATTTGCATAACGGACGAAGCCTTATATTTTTCATAGTGAAATAAAATTGTAAATTTAGATTTTAAAAATGTTCTCTAATAGATTTAAATTACACGGGGCCTCCCATGTCGATTTCAATAGTCCCCGCCCACTGACGTCAGACACAAAGACGTAAGAGATCTAAATGCATAATTATTAGGACGACTTCTTAGCTCCTGACCTTTCGCTTGGCGAAATTTACATTCCGGCTGAATTCTCGAGAAATCAACTCACCTAACTTCAAAGAATTATCAAAGAGAAAACGAAGAATTGGAAATATATGTGCATTAACTGTTAAAGTTATGTAGTATTCAATGTATCTTTCTATTCAAAACACTTTTTTACAACCGAAATCCACAGATCAATGCGTTCTAGATATTCAGTGTTAAATAAAAATCGCAGCATGTTGGCTTTTTCCAACATTTTCAAGCTTGCAGAAGAGATGTGTCGTCGTACGGTTTGAATTTAAGAGAGTTGCAGTCAACATAAAAAATGACAAATTTTTAAGAAGTCAATTGCTTTTTTGTAAAACAAAAATACACAATATAAAATTCATGATTCATGAACTCAAATTTCTCAATTTTTAAAATTGCGATTGCTCCTCACGCTATGTCCCTTCCAGCGGCCTTTAAAGGGCATAGACACAGTTTCAGCAAAAAAAAAAAAAAAAAAAATTCAAATTTATTTTTCCATTTTTTCTGTTCAGCTAGGGTATTTATAATGATAATCACAAATATGAATTTCATTTCTCGAGATACAAGACAGATTTAGAGCTCCAAACCTTTGTTATGTAAACAAGGCCTGTGATATGTTTTTGTGTACATAGGTTAAACATACTAATATATGTTTGTTCAAAGCAGATTTTTTTTAACAAACAAGTTAATAATAAGTACGATTAGACAGTTTCTAGTGATTTGCTGAAATTCGTTTTGTTGTAAATATGATATTTTTTATATGTAAACAAAAACAAGGCACGAGGCTTGTTAACATTATGAAGGATTTTAAGTTCTGTGCAATAGGAAAAGACAATATTTTCCCGAAAGTGAAATTTTATTTGCCAAAAAATAAGCTGAAAATTGGCTAGACCAGACATTTGGTACAAAATGGTACATTTTTAAACACATTTTTATCAAAAAAATTTCTATCTCTGGGTCTTCTCTCCATAATTTTGAAACGTTATTTTTGTGCATTTTAATTCAAAGAAACAAATATACATTTGTAAAAAATGGAGACCATTAAAAATGAACTTTTCCCCAAAAATTATAACTGTGTAAATGTGGTGCTTCTTTGTCCTTTTAAAATCAACTGTATATGTGTAACGGTGATACTAGTAGCTTAATATGGGCTACCTATCCAGTGCACTTGAAGTAAAAAGTTTTTGGTTCGAGCCTCGCTTGGGACGTTAATTTTATCATTTTTCATGCAAACAACCATTTATTTTGTCAGTTTCATTTAAAATCTAAAATTTTGAATTAGATAAATTTTGGTTCAATTTTGTTCTCGAGTGAAATCAATTCCAATCTTCTATTCTATGATGTATATGTACATGTACACTTATCCTCTATGCCAGATGTTTATTTTGTGGGAAACATTACTTTGTTATTGTGCCTCCTAGGAAAAACGGACATAAATGTTTACAACCTGACAAGGTCTTTCAAACTAAATGAAAAAAATCAAATGGTTGTGTTTGTAAAATCTGACCAGCTATGTTCAGCCAACCAAATCATGCACATTTAAACCATAAGTTCCTGCAGATCACACGCAAGATACACCCATCTTCTTTCAGTTGAAACTGTGTCCCTGTCCCTTTAAACTACAACCAAATCAGTCATTGTTAACAAAAGATGCATGTGTTTACAAAAGCAAATTAAAATCCAGCTACAATGAACCAGTAATTAAAAGTTTATCAACGGAAGAAAGAAAGATGGAAAACAAGTATATGTAATACTTTGGTTAATCATTTCTGTCCGTCTATTTTTTTTATTCGTCTGGGTTTTTTTTGTATGATGCAATGTGAGATGACAACTGACTGCCTTTTACTTTAATGATATAGTTTTATTAAAATAAATAAAATGATCAGCCCCAGTTTTAGTTGCAAAATCTTCTAGACTTTGTGGAGAGCGAAAGCGAACCCAGAACTCTAGGTTTTCAAAGATGGTTTATCTGAAGCAATATGATAGAAATCATTGAATTATTTTTCTTTCTTTACAATGTGCCGAGTCCTCGAGTGAGGTAGTGGTTTTAGAGTTTGCTCTTGAGTCGTGGAGTAAGTCAGTTGATCAAAACGTTGTTGGCTCCACCCCGGTCCAATGCGAAAGGTGGAGACCAGGCCTTTGGATGTGAGGTTCCGTGTCACAATATAGGCTGGCATGTAAAAGATTCCTCGCTGTTTAAAGGCATGAAGTGTCGAGTACATGTCTGTCTTTTACTGACAAGAGATTTGGTCTCACTATGATTAAAACGTTCTCGAAGGAACGTTAAACAAAGAAAACAACATGCTAGGTAAAATAATAACTGTAAGAAAGTAATCATTTAATGCAAGTTTTGTTTATGTCAATTAGCACGTGCACCCTACGTGAATTTCCAATGATTAAAATCAACAACCAATTAATCTACCCACACCTTAGATGGAATAATGTCGAAAGAACAGAAATAGTGCAATCATAATCAAGTTTACCTGTGGTTTGAAATTCTTACTTTATACAATCAAGAATAAACACATAGTAAATAAAGATACAAATAAATGAAAAAATAAATATATATAACATGCAAAAACCAAATACCGAAAAAGAACAAATTTCCATCAAAATTGGACAAAGGTTTAAAATATAACGTAAATACGTTTTCAAATTAATTTTCAATTTCTAAAGTTGTAAATGGTTGAATAACTCATTAAATTAAAAAGAATTAACGATACATGTAAAAGACATCTGTCTAAATTAGATTTGTGGAGGGTTTTTATATAAAACAGCGTATATAATTAAAAAGTAAATATCTTTCATACATTATAGACTCTTTCACAATAAATAAAGTAGACTTTTTGTGTTCCAGGTAAGTTTGTACCGTTTGTGGAACACCTGGTGTCTCTGGCCTCAGTCCTCACGATTCTGGTGATCACCTATGACAGATACAGAGGGGTCTGCTATCCCATGAGTTCCGGCTGTTTCTGGTCAAATCTCAGGGTGCCGACCGTTGTCTTTCTAGTTTGGATACTGGCTGGTGCTGCTAGTCTTCCCATAACATTTATTGCCATTTTTCGTGATTCAAAATTCTTTGACGGAACGCCAATAAAAGTTTGCAGAATGCCTATCAACAGTTCATGGAAAATCGCGTACATCCTGGGCATCTTTATTTTCTTTTTCATCGTGATTTTGATGGTGTTATGTTTTTTAATTTTCCGTATGTGTAAGAAACTCTTGTGGCACGCCCAATTCCTGGAGGATCGGGCCGAACAGGACTCGGAGAAGACGGTATCGGGGAGGCGGAGAATCGTCTTCATGTTGATCATTGTCATCGTCACATTCTTCTTGTGTCTTCTGCCTCAAAGAATTGTGGGAATTTGGATCATTGTTGCAGATCACGGAGAGCTGCACTCTTTGGGACTGGAGGGGTATCTAAACCTCATAACCTTTCCCCGAGTCCTCATGTACATCAGCAGTGCATCGAATCCCATCATCTACAACATCATGTCTGCTAAATTCAAGACGGCTCTGAGAGACATTCTTTGTCATTGCAAGATTTGCACAGAGTGTCATTCTCCATTACCAAGGTTAAGAGATCGGACGAGTAGCTTTCATTTGTCCCGGTTATCGCTAAGTTCGCGAGGTACACACTGGTCCCCCCGGTCTCGCCATTCCACGGGGGAATCTTTTCACCAAGAATCCAAGGTCATGTTAAAAAAAGACAGATCTATTGAAAGTGTTTTGTAGCAATATTATGATATATGTATTTAGATGTCTAAATGTCAAGAAGAACATTTTCAACCTTATAAATGTGTGTTTAAAACATGTATTAAAATCAATTTCATGTATTTAGCTCTTTGTCGTTTATAAAACTGTTTTAACAGTCTCATGAGATGATATCAATAAAACAAAGTTAATTGGTTTCTATCACGCGGTTTTTCCCAACTACTTTGATGCGAGGCCCAAAACAAACGCTTCGCCTGTAGCAAAGACAGATATGATTAAAATCATATAATTAAGCCTTATCATCAACAGAAAGTAATAGGAAAATTTTACTTTTCAAATAAAGGATAACGGTGAAGCATTTAATTTTAGAAAAAAATACGTATCGAAAATCTATGCCTGACGTCACGAGAGCTAGGCTGGTCAGCTATAGTCTGTAATAAAACATATGGAGATAATAACAAATAATAACAATGCAAAATAGGAGCAGAGCAAACACGGACCTCCAAAAGTCAGAGGTGGGATCGGATGCCACTCTCTGGTTGAGAAAATTCCGACAGACAATTTTTCTTTCGCTCGCCTTTGGTATTATATTTTTGTAAGCGTTTCCATGCTATCCGTCAATTTTCTTCATATCTTACCCCTACTCCTAATACTTTATTCACCTTCCAAATATATTTTTTTTTACATACTTGGATCGTCAGGACTAAGAATAAAAAAAAATTAAAAATGTCATAGAGCATATAAATGTAGTAAAGTTATAAATAAATATTTTTTACCTTAAGTATCTTCTATATAATTTATAAAAACTCGAAAATAGAAAATAGATACAGTTCATATTCATGAAAGAAAAAGAAAACACTTGCTGTGGCAATAAACTCGACATTTAGATATATCGACGACGTATTGTCAATTAACAATGGTTATGTCGATACGATATATCCTGATGAGCTTGAGATAAAAGATACCACAGAGTCTGACACATCTGTTTCATATTTAGATATTTTATTAACAGCCAAGCTTTATGACAAAGGAGTTTACTACTTTTAAATCGTCAATTTCCCTTTCTCATACAATATACCTTCATCACCTGCATGCGGGGTATATATCTCTCAGTTGATTCGATACGCAAGAGTATGCTCTGTGGCATCTTTAATTTCCACTTTCAAGTTCCAAGGGATATATTGAATAAGTATAGGAATAAAATAGTTATTATCAATTGATAAATAAAACGTCATCAGTATATCTTCAATTTGATTTGAGCCATAGAAAGAGACTTCTTTTAGTATATGACTAGTATAATGAAGATAACGAACAGTATTCATGCTAAAATACTTAATTTATACTTCATACGTGTAGAAATCCTTCTTAAAAGAAACAAACTTGTAGCTGAGTAATCATTGGCCAAAAAACATCAGAGGTGGAATCTGAGACCAGGTGCCATGGAGAGTGAACATTCACTGCCGAATCGTCAAACCCGTCGTGCGCTCCTTGTCATGATCGGAAAATAACGCAAAAATTCAGTGTGGAAATAATGGCCTAACAGTTAGTACAAAAAACGTCAGTCAGCATTTGACTTAATGATACAATGTATTTGCTGACATACATGATCATTGCATTGACCATAAAACTTACGAAAATGATGATTAAACAAGGATGCTGATATTTAACTTGTTTGCAAATAACTTATCTCATTCTAGAAATTGTTCATGCGAACAATATGATAAACCCCGTATTCAAGTTCTGAAGATATATTGCTGCATAAAAAATGAGAAAAAGTCATCACTTTTATGATAAAGCTTGGTTGTCAGATTACTATTTATGTCTTTTTTCAAGTGAAGTATCCAAATATGAAACAAATGTGTCAGACTCTGTGGGTTTTTTTTATTTCAAGCTCACCGGGATATACATATAGTTTAATGGACTTTGGGCTTGAATACTATTCGTTATCTCCATATATTTCACAGTATCAACATTAGAAAGGAAATAATCATTGTTAATAACAATACATAGTCGATTTATCTAAATGTCGAGCTGAAGGCCACAGCAAGTGTTTTCTTATTTTCACATAAAAGATTTTGGATAAAGATTTTCATCATGTGAAAAAAATTGGTACCATGGGAAATTCGATATATTGTTGAAAGACCTAGGTACCAAAGACACTCCGATATTGTCAATCAGAAACTCAAGCATCTTTTTAAATCAACTTCGGAGCACTAGTGTGTCAATCGAAATGTTTTTTAAAGAAAATAATTTTGTAAATGACCAATGACAAGGTAGGTAAATTTACGAGTTCCATTTTTATCAAAAGATATAAAAAGCCTGGACTTTTAATTCTTCGTGACGAATGGTTGTATACAACGTTAAAAAGTCCTTAGTTTTTACGTTGCTGATTTTGTAAAATTTTGTGATTTCAAATTTTCCAAAAGTTCCTTGGAGCTTTTAAGTATCCACATCTGATTTACACCACGACTCGAATACATTGTTGCACAGTACTGGTAAAGTTTCTCCTTTACTACTGTTAATATTTTAGTGAGGAGTAAAAAAAGAGGCCTGGTAGAACATTTACTGGAACCCGCTATGTATCTTAGTAAAGATTTTTATGATGGTTTGGAATCCAATATAGATATGGTAATTCAAATTCATGCTGATTGTTGTGCATAATAAAATATTCAAAACTGACATACGATTTTGAAGAATTCTTCTATGAAAGGGAGCTACAGGTATAAGGTTGATTACCACTAGTAAATCAGATTATATAATTTCATAATACATTGTTGATGATTATTGAGTATAACCATGGGTTTTTCATTACTCCGGTACGAGAGAGAGGACGTTAGTCACAAACACGTATTTGCAGGTATTACTATACAGAATATGACAATATTAATTAATAATTTGCCAGTGCAATGTCTGAGAGCTCTCTTTATAAAAGCTTACCGATATATTTATTTTCAACAATTTTAAATAGTTAACAGGTCTACACTTATCAGGCCGTATAATTCTTTTGAATTTCTTGATTTTGTATTTCTAAATTAAAATTTTTAGTATTCAGGGCAAAAATTAGCCCTAAAAACAGAAATTGTTTTTCGGTCATATATGTAAACTGGCCGAGGTTTTAGTGATTAATGTTTGTTTTAATCATTCTCTCTTAAACAAGACAGGGGAAAAGAATAATAACAAATTGTAAAGCCTAAAAACAATAACTATCTTTAAGTTTTATTTATAATGAAATTAAAGAGACCTTTTTATTTATTGCTATAAAAAATATCATGTTATTGAAAGCCCAGAAGAATTACTTCTGATTTTGTTGTTCGTTTTGTCATTTTTTTAAGATTGGAAATCTTGCAAAATTGTTAAAGTCGTACGAAAAATAGATCATCAGAAAGTTATCTCCCTTGCCTTGAACAGCATTTCAACCAATGAAATAATTGAAAATTTTCTAATTATAACAAATGCAAATTATATTACAATCACAAAAGATATATATTAGGAAATTTTAATAATTATTGGATTTTTGTAAAAAACTTCAATCTATACAATACCGCTCATAAATATTAAAAAAATTACTTATATCATGGTATATATATTTGCCAGTGCAATGTCTGACCTGGCGAAGCTCTCTTTATATTATATCTAAATTCAGATTTATTTATCTTCGAATAAATACTTGCATATCCCTAAATGGTTATATCATAGGTACAACTCCATAACTGACGAAGCTTTAATTCGAATATCACTTGTGTTGCTGTGTTCAACAAATTCAGATAATGAAGACTGATACTGTTAAATTCAATAAAGGATTAAAATTTTTAGTATTCAGGGGTGAAAATCTCAAGAACAGAAAAACAGAAATATGTTTTATTAAATATATGCAAGCATCTTCGGGTTTTAGTGATTAATGTTTGTTTTATAATTTGTTATTGCTCTGTGGTAGGAATATCGAGCTTCCTACGTGTGGTTTTCCTAAATCAAAAAAAATATGTAGAAAATACAAAAATATATATACTCCTGATACATGTAATGAAAATAAAAACAAATATAAATTGCAGTATATCAAAAATCCAATAATTATTTAAATTTCTTTAATATATATAAAACACTCTTTTTTGCATTGTAATTTAAAATGTTGGTTATAATTATTTTAAACGATTTCTTGATATAAAAACATAATAAAGGGGAGTAATCAAATGTTAATCCGTTTTTGATGGATATTGGGGATCAATTTTTACATGCACATAGAGCCGTGGTTTTCATTTGAATTTAAAAGAGCTCAGAAGTACACATCTGTGACAAAGTCTTTACAGTTTGCTCATGACTCTTTCCAAGAATTTCATTAATTAATTACATAAATTTACATCATTTTACGATAGGAAATTCTTATAGTTGGCGGATAGTCATGATCTCAACAATTTACTGCCAAATATAAATTGCACTTCATATTGCAATCTACTTAAAGTATAAATAGACATTGTGCAAGGGCTTTACATTTTGTTTATGTATAATTTTGCAAATATGATAATTTGCGAGAAAATGTAGTCATTTATAATTTTGATTTTAACATGTTTTAAAGGGAAATATTGGTTTTCCAATCGTTGTGTGACCACGTATTGTACTTGATGGATGTATAGCACGTGTATCTGACATGTCTCAACACCAATATAGAAGTAACGTATCCCAAAATATAAGAGAAATCACGTAGGTTATCCTGAAAACACGAAGACAACAAAGCAGGGACTGATTTGCACTGTTGCACTGTAAGTTTGCGTAAAATAAAATGTGTCCACCATTGATTACAAATTTATCATATTAAAACGAGCCAAAAATATAAGTGGGGTTTGTTGATCATTAACGCACAAACAGCATGTTACACAGACTGATTGCTTGGATTTATTGAACATGTTATATATAAAAATATTCACTTTAGCAAACTTCATTCATGTCTTCCCTGGTTTTTATTCTAAATCATGAAGCAGGTTCTTATTTTAGTTTTACTTCTAATCACTGGGACCTTTCGGGTGAATTCACTTGGTAAGTGTTTTTTTAATTAATTTAATTTATACTTTATTATTTACATGTAATGCTGCTGAAGGAAATGCACGTCCGACATATACATTGTGAATTTGTTATCCTGAACTATTCCAAGTTACAACGTATAAATTCTCTCGTTGGTATTACAATTCAATGATCTTTTTAATTAAAAAAAACCGTACTCTTTTGAATTTCTTGTAATTTAATTATTTGTAGAAAAGAAACAAGAAATTTGCCAGGACAGTGTTTAAGAAGAAGATTTTAAAGACCCATTTCTTCATAATTTTTTTTTTGGTCTTTTAATATGATTATTATTTTTTTGATTTACAGATGATCCGGTTTTAATAAAGTTCCACCGAGTATTGTCCATTCTTCACAAAAAGGGCATTAATTTAGTGTCAAAGAGTGTGCCTAATTCTTCCAAGGGGGGAATCACCGTGGTTCTGGGGGACGCTCTCTGTAGATCCTGCTGTGTATTACAGACCAAACAGGAAGAGGATAAATGTGTTCTGAAGTTCTGTATGAGTAGAGTGCCCTGTAATTAAGCCGTAAAAGACTATGTACAACCTTTTGGAGCAAGGCATTGTCAGTGTAAAGTTGACTAGAGATCAGTTCTAACACTTAAGAAAGATGAATTGAATTAGAATGTAAACCTTAAAAAGAGAAAGCTTGCAATTTGTTCTTGATTGTTTGATTTGTTTTATGATTTATGATTTATTTGAAGTAAATGTGAAAAAAATGCTTATGATATTTTTCAGCAAATGTACACAATCTGTTTCAACTGAACATGTATATTGGAACTGATGTTTTGTTTGTTGAAAGTCTATGTTTTGGTTTTTTGGACTAGAATCAACTAATTAAACAAAAATGAGAAAGGACTTACAAGTTCATTTTCATTGAAGATTTGTAGAAATTAATAAATCCTGTATTTTACACTCAGATGATGGTTTTTTCTTCCGCAGAATGATTTTCATTTCTGTGGAGTTTTGTATGGTACATCGTAAATCAATTTGTTTTTCTGCCAGTTGATGCTACAAATTAACACATTATATATTATTTTCGATAAAGAAAAGTTTACTTACATCTGTATCAAACCAACCAATTAACAATTTTTTCTCGATTCGTGTATTTGATTTGATACCATACCATCAAGCAGAATAAAATTATTTATAAGAAAAGAATGAAGTACAACGTTTAACAATATTAATATCTGTAGTTTTTCCTTAATGTGTAGATTGTGTGTGAGATGAATGTCATACACGTGCTAATTTTACATTCATTTTATAGTGTTTGTTTACTGAATAGGAGTAAGTTGTCTTTTAAATGATTTAACAATCGATTACTGTGTAAAATGTTCACGATGATGGAAAGACTAGTTGAACAAATTGACTATCGTGCGACGATAAAGAAGTTGACAAATTAAGTCTCAACTGAGATGAAATATATGGAGAAAACGTACAGTATTCTAGCTAAAAAGTCCATTAATCTATACAAAATAGGAGCAGAGCAAACACGGACCTCCAAAACATCAAAGGTAGGAACAGGTGCAATGAATACGTGAGCATCTCCTGCCGACCGGTCACACCCGCTTTGTGCTCCTTGTCATGATTGGGAAAAAAGTCAAATAACGGAAAACCCATCGACTATTCGTGTATAAATAGTGGCGTAACAATAAATATGGAAAATTCCAGTCAGCATTAGAGTTAATGACGAATTGTATTTGCTGACAAGGTCATTGTATCGAACATAGAACATACGAAAAAATGACTTTAAACGAGATGGCTGATATTCTTGTTTCATCAACTTGTTTGTCAATAATTTACCTCGTTTTAGAAATTGTTCATACGTAGAACATGCTCTTGCGTATGAACCACGTATGCAGGTGACGGAGGTATATGCTGCATAAATAACGGAAGTTGACAATTGAAGGTCAAAGTCATTTACCGTTCACGGTAGCCTAGTGGTAGACCGTTCGCTTCGTGATCGGGAGGCCCGGGATCGATTCTCGTTCGCGGCGCCGCGTCAAACCTAAGACGTAAAATAGGTAGTGACTGTTCCTTCGCCAAGCGCTCAGCATCGGAAGTGAAAGTCACGGATCTTTCGGATATGACCTTAAAAACGTAGGTCCCGTGTCAGGGTAGGCGCTGGCACGATAAAGAACCCTCACTGCTCAATGGCCCTGAGTGCCGAGTATCGGTCTAAATTTGAAGCCCTTCATCTGCATACGGTGACGTCTCCATATGAGTGAAAAAATCTCGAGAGGGACGTTAAACAATATACAATCAATCAATCAATCACTTGTCATAAAGCTTGGTTGTTAGATTGCCATTATCGTCCTTTTCAAGTAAAATATCTGAATATGAAACAGACGTGTCAGACTCTGTGGTATCTTTTATTTCAAGCTCACCAAGATATATCGTATCGACACAAAAATGGAAACAACTATCGTTAATTGACAATACATGAGACAGTATTTCTTCGATATTTCATGTAAACTTTAAGGTTGTACAAAAAAGGAAATATTTGAAAATTTCTTTTCCGATACCATGTCAACCAAATGTTCTGCAAAAATGTAAAATCTGTGATGTTTTGATTACAATCTATTCTTGAACTGGCAACCTAGCTTAAAATATCTTTTTGTAACTGTCTACTGAATAGAATGTAACGTTATTAATGTCGGTGAATCCAAGAGTTTACTAGTAATTTAAAAAAAGAATATCTTGGCATAGATTTCTAATTGACAACAAAGGACACCAACTTGTCTACAACCGCTTTGACCCACGTGATCGTTCTATGGTCAGTGAGAGTTAAAATATCATCAATACAGATCGCCCTTCACTGTGTTCTCCTTTCCGTAGACAGCGATCGAGAGGAATACTGGAGCAAGAAACTCGGCATGGCCTCTCCATATGGTGGCAATGGCAATGTCGTAAGGGTTGGGGATCTTTAAAGTCCCCGTGTAGCAATATGTGATAGGACGTTTTAACATTACACAGCGATGTTAGCGAAGTGACGGACATTAGTATTACAATTAATACATCTGTCATATACATGATATACGATGTCTGTTTTGATTCACTTCTTTAAATAAACAGTTAGTTCTTACCATATGCAATAAAGTTTTCTCTGCCCTTTGAAAGTTTAAAATGGTGTAGGTAAAAAGGTGAGAGAAAGTACATTTCTGGATTTCTCGACAGCGACCATGTATAGATACATGTATTGAAAATCAAAGACTTTTAAAGTCTCCAGTTTTAATGGACACTAATATAAGTAATTTTCTTCATGACAAAAAATGTCTAGTCGTGTAATCCACTCTATGTCAAGTTACAGTCTACACCATGTATTACTTATAAATACACTATGCTTCCAAGCTTTACAGTGCCTAGATATCGGACTTCTAAAACATAATACTCTCACGTGTTCATGTTCTTCTTCACCTAACAACTATAGCCCCGCTGATCACGTCATTTCTCGATTTGGACAATCTTTCTTTGGGTTTTCAGTCCTACCAAAAATATTATAATTTGAATTTGACCAAGAAGTAATTCTATTATACTACTGTTATTACCATGTAGGCAAACACTTTGTCTTTCGATCACAATTTTCAAAGCATTTAAATGTAGGTTATCTGATTTGAAATGAGAGGATCATTTTGAAACGACACTAAAATAATGAGACCGGATGATTCTGACGTAAAAATTATGCAAATCTGTCACGAATGGCTAGAAATTGGATGATTGCAAGAGATTGAGAAACATCTAAAACTGTGATGCATTGTATGATAGAAAGTTGGATTTTCAGTGAATGGCGGACCCACCCAGAATGAAGAGCTTATATCCCTGTAGCGTGAGAATTCAGGAGAAATATTTGAGATGGTTTTCAAAATAGCAGTCATGTTTGTTGTTTATTTGATGATTTTATCACACACGCTTGCCGGAGAGGAGATCTCCCTACATCGATATAACCGTAAGTGCAACTCTTTTTCATCTTTTTTTTCAAATATGGCAATGCTGATGTGCCTAAAACCGACTTTACCATTCCAAATAAATGGATGCGTATTTGAATGCCAAATAAGAGGTTTTTACGGTGCCGAATTATTGATCAAGTTTATAATATATTACAGAATAATTTTCAGCTACCTATAAAGGCCTATAAATTATAATGTTGTAACAGTTCTAGTTATCTTTCATACAATAATTATGAAGCATGTGTAACAGCAACAAAATAACACACGTAAATATATTTTTTTTTTTTTTTTAATTTCCGATCACCCAAGTCCTGAAAAATTAACGGTATTACTGCTTCTACTGTTATAGTTAACTGTTTTGCTACCATTATTACAATTGTACTTATGACTTACGGTAACTTAACTTTGTTTGCAGTGTTTCTAGATGTTGAAGATTTTTCCTTTAATGATAGATGTACTACTGCCTTTATGGTAATTAGCTTAACATTGTTTGCAGTGTTTTAATAAGTGAAGTTTTCCCTTTTATTTCAGGTGTAACACTGACTCCACGGTTACTAGACATCTTCTGTAGTGCCTGTTGTAAAGGCCTGACCCTCAGAAAGAGTCTCTGTCTAGTACGGTTTTGTATGAACTCCCAATGTGCCAAGTCCTGACAACTAGTGGTTACTGAGATAAAACACTGTGATTTCTTCTGACATTGTTCCACAGAAATAATGGAATTTATCCTTCTGCCTTTAATTATATATAGGCTTAAAAGTCTTATTTTATTTTTGTAATATAAAATGTAACCTTTTTGTTGAAATTAAAGTAATTTCATATTCTTGAGGTGTAGTTTTTTTCGGTCAATAAATTCAACTGCATTCAGAAGGAAAGTTAAAGCAAATATATATGCATGTTTTTTATATTTCATGTTTATGCAGATTTTCAATTACATCAATAAAAAGGGGTTAATAATTATATCCTTTGCAATGTAAATAAAATCATAAGATGTAGACATATATACTTTTATATTTATTTCAAAAACAAATTTTCAACAAACAAAAAAAATTCCTTAACTGACACAATAATGTGAAAGTACTAACCAAACGAACGACAGTCTGGACCACGACTTACACAGAAACGTCTTATACAATTATTATAGTAATACCAGGGAACCCGACAGCATACAGCACAATAAATGTCCCCAAGCTGTGTACGGATAGACGGTAAAGACGCTCGAATAGCGTCTGTGGGTGGGTTAGGTTGCACTACCCCCGGGTTTCCTGGACCCTCCTCGGGAGGAGTCACGGGTCGGGTGATATCGTCAGGGGGTAAGATTCCTGGTCCTGGTCTGTAAGGTCCCCATGGCGGATAGCGCCTGTTTCTGTGCCTACGTAGGTGATCATACTGGGTTTTCCAGTCTACATCTCGCCATGGCCGACCGATCGATCGACTTCCAAAGCGTCCAGAGCGACCTGATAAATGAAAGAGTACTCCTAGTATGTAATGAATTATCTCGACTGAGGTCCAACTAAACAGCAGAAACTTTATCTTAATTCATCTTAATTGACTTCTACGTAGGTTTTTTCGCAGAAAAAAAAACGTGTAAAATATTTATCAATGACTAATGACCTAGAAGGGTTTTCCCCTTACAGCTGTTGTAAAGATGATATTGCTGATTATATAGGCGACATTTTTAATGTAATATGTCTAATATCTCTTTAACAAACTCATAAATGTGCCTGTTGATCGTATTTCTGTCAATTATATCATGAAAATATCATCATGACATGCTTGATAATCAATTGCAACTCATATTCATAAAAGACTAAGGGATTATTGGTCAAAATATAAACTTTCAAAAAAGTGAGTTAAATAGAGACCATATATATGTTTGTAGGCCTATTAATAATTAAATGATTATTTAGTCTCATTAAGGTTTATCTTTTTTCAAGATTTCTCAATGATACCCTCGAGATTTTCGAAATTGATAAGTATAAATTTAAAATTCCGACAGGAAAAAGAGAGTATTTTTTGACCTCATGAAAAATTAGCCAGTACTTATTTTTTCAGGATATTTCGATATTTGAATGATGTACAAGAAAAACAGGCAAAACGTTATACCAACTAATGCATAAAAAATTGAAGTTAACAAACAGTAATTGATCCTTAAAAAACCCAGATAGAATCTCTCAACAGGACACCAAACAGAGAGCCCCCAAATTCTACAGTATAATAAGGTGATAAGAAGGTGTAAGCATCCTCTCACGACCCGTCCTACACAGGAAGACTGAGTGTTCAAATTAAGTACCTGGTATAAACCGAAGACGTATAATTGGTATATACACTGTCATCTAGAAATACGACCATCCAGAAATACGACCATTAATTTGTAAGCAGGGTCACTATAACGACCACAAAATTTACGAAATGTTGACTTTAAACGAAGTTGTTGAAATCCTTTTAACATTGACTTATCTGTCAGTAGTCTGCCTCGGTTAAAAAAGTTACGTAATGCAATTTAAAAATTACTAAAACAAATATATATCATGTTTCACATATAATTATTTAATTAAAATATCTGTACTTGGGACAGTATGTGTACTTTAATGATATTCATATTGTTTGATGTACCCATTATTTGAATTGTTAAAGTTTACTTTATTGAAGTGTTCATTATCGTCACAATTCATGAGTCTGATTTTAAATATTCTCCTCTTTAATGTAATAAAGTATTTCTAGCAATTCTTCTCAGACAAATTCATTCTGGCCATTATAAACGAGGCCAGTGCCCTTGCCAGTTCAGGGCATTGATTTTGCAATGCTAAGTATTCTTAAGTTTCTGATTATTTGCACTTTTATTTTTGCAAAAAAAAAAAAAAAAAATTATACTAAAAAATAAATTTAAAAAAAGACATGAAGATAATTTCTTTATAGTTTTTATATTTATATTCATTTAAGATACAAGTAGTATATTATCACAATTTTATTTAGACATTGTACTCTTTTGAGGTAGAACGCTTATATTTATCTTTTATATAGACAAATGATAAATCATTTCCGTTCGCCTAGATATATCTACGTACATGTATAACCTAATTACCGATTTGCTGTTGTGTACAAGGTAATGATTGTCAGAAACCTGCAAAAAATAGTGTGTGATTTCTTCGTGACTCATGAAATAAAAAATATAATATTAACGGAATATTTTAAAAAATCAAGGAAAATCTTACCTGATTTTCGCCCTCTAAAATTTCCTTCTTGAATAAATCTTTGTGATATACCCAACTGTAAGATTGAAATGAAGGAGAGCAATAAGTAGGACCGCATGTCGATACTGATTCGGCGTGATGTGTGCCACTCAGGTGATCCTCTGTTATTAGGCCTGTAGTGTCGCCCGAGAACTTCCATCAAACAATTAGAGCTATAATTCATCTGTCTTAATCACAATCCGAATAACAGCTTAGTATATGTATGTCTATCTAGGTTATAATGGATTCAATGTATTTATGTCTTTTAGGGAGAAACTTTAGAGTTCTTTGCTATTACTTATTCAAGAAGTGATATTAATATAGATTCAAAAACCTCAAAAGAACTTTAAAAATTTGGAGTCAAAAAATATTTCCGAAACCAATACTGTGATTTCAAAACGTTTGCTTTTTTAAAAATGCAACTTAAACAACCCTTTCCTCACAAGAGACTAAAAACTGCACTTTTTGACATCACAGGCAACATTTTTTTTTAAATTAAAATGGATCTCAGTACCTGGTAATTTTCATAGCATATGATCAGTGAATTTCAAATTTATTTTATCAACAAAAATTATAAAAAAAAAAAAATAAATAAAAAAATAAAAATAGATAAAAGAATGTTGGTAACATAAATAAGTCCAGAGGATACTGAAATTTCTTAAACAAAATAATAGCCGATCTGTTATATACACAGGAAAAATGTCCACATGTGTTGAACATATGTTAAACATGTGTTTAACATATATTTTTTACACATGTAAAACACATAAAAGGAGCACACATGTATAGGGTGTTTATTTTTACACATGTTAAACATATGTTTCACATGTGTTTAACATGTGTAAAAATGAACACATTGTATATTTATACATATGTAACATGTGTTAAACATGTGTTTTATATATGTTATACTTTATATGTGAATTATACGTGTATAATATTACTGTTGTACTTATCATTTTTATACTTTTTTCATGTCTGTCCACATATGTGAATCATATGAAAAGGGCAGCATATGTAAATCATATGAAATAGTTACATGTGTTCTCTTTCAATATTTATCACAAGGAAAAACACATTCTTGTATACATTTAAAAATCAGATATTTCTGCTTTAGATGAAAATCCATTACATTCCAATGATCTATCATCATGGGTTAAATATTTGAAAATTAATATCTTAAAATGCTTACACAACTTTTTTGATAAATTATTTTCATCAAGAGAAATAACTTATTTTTCAGTGTACTTTCTAAACAGGAAAGTATACAAACAAGTCAGTAGCATTTGTCGATACATATATTTTACATATTCTAAGTTGAGTACAATTATAAGATTTCCACAAAATGATTAAATAGTTAAACATGCATACATGTACAAATGAATAACATAATTAGTCCATGTACTTTTTTATAATTTATATGATTTGACATGAAAGTGTCCAAAGCAAAATTGAAATATCACATATAACATTTGTCATGTATTCTCTATGGTAAATTTATGAAAAATCAAGTTATTTGATATTACAGCATACAAATAAGAATGGGAATTAAATCTTTACAGGTCAAATGCAGACAAGATTGTGTACATCCTCCCAATTTCATAATTATTTCATACATTTTCTTGTTCTTTTTCCTTCTGTATCTTTCAGTTTTCTTCAGTTGTCCTCCCTCTGATCTTCCATGAGCTTGACCATTTTGAACTCTCTTTGAACTGTACCCAAAATGCAAATCCACCATTTCTCCCTTTCCTGAACAATTTCTTTGTGGCACAGAATGGTCTCTACAAAAATTTCAAAAGTAAAAATAAAACAATTCTTAAATTACAAAATCAATTCTACAAGAAATATTAAAGTTCAGCAAACAAATGTATGCCCAATTCACCAACAGAGATATGATAAGAGATAAAACTAATGTTATATATGCTATACTAGGTGTTTAGTGGAATCCTATGATGTAATTTGCAAGACAATTACACTGTTGGAAGATATGCTTCATAATAAAGTCATAAAAAGCATTTTTTTTTTTGGATTTTGACAATTAAATTTGGAATGTTCAAACAGTATTACTAATTCATATTGCCAAAATTTGAGAAGATTCTGACACAAATATTTTTTTATTTTTGGACAAAAAATACTACAGAGAAGTAGACAGGCAGAAAAACAGACAGTGTGATTCCAGGATATCCCAAACGTTGTTGGGAAGAATATAACAAAGTTTATTTAACAGTGTGTAGTTACCTTAATTAAGCTTTTAAGCAAGTCTTGGATCTTGGGATTTATTCTTATGAGACGCTGACTGTATATTGAACCTGTAAAACAAATATTCACGCAGTAGATATCTTCTAAGCATAACTAAAACTTAATTAAACTACAAAACTACAACTATAAAAAAGAGAGAGTACATGTTTGTAGGTTCTTAATAGTCTTAATTAATATCTTACATTTTACCAGAAACTATGTTCTCTAGTGTTGGAAAAAAATAATAAATGTCAGGTAATGAATACTGGTACATAATAGATGTAAATATCCAATGGATTAGCTAGCTGATGTACTTTCAACAATCAACACATATACACATGCACTTGTACCTTGAAAGTTGGATGTCACTGTTAATATTATTAATTTTTAACTGAAATTCAAAAATTCAATAACCCCCCCCCCCCCCTGAAGTCATTTACAGTACATGTACCAGTTTCATAGCTTTTAAAGCCAGCAAATTCTATTCATATTTTCCATATTTTAAAAGTGCACTGGATTAAAACCGTTTTATAATATAGAATAAAATTATTGTAGCATTGAGTTGGACTTATTATTTATGAAGTCGTGCAAACAATACAATGTAGAATTATAAAGGAACAAAAAGAAATTACAATGTATCAAGAAATATTTTGTCATGAAGGAGTCATTACAGATGTTTACTTTGATTTTTTATTGCAAGTATTTATTTTTACCTTTAATATTGCGATGATGCAATCATCTGTCAAATCAGCTTTAGGATCAATCGCCAGTCTTATCAGCTTTGGGCTTTTTAGACGCAGCAAATGTGACACTGAACTCAAGTTACTGCATGCATCTATAGGCCATAAAAACAAACACTTGTTATTAAGTTGATGAAAAAATCGACTTGACAGCCATCTCAACATACATAAACACCAACTGACAGTCACAATGGTTTCAAGGTTTCTACTTTCACTTTCATATCAGTACGTAACAAACGGAAAACCAATAATGCCTTTAAAAAGTAGCCTAACATGTAATGTTAACGTTCATTCAGAAACAAATTTATCCCAAATTACTTACCTGTATAAAAATTATACAAAATGAAAATAGTAATGCCTTTAGCCTAACATGTAACCGCTTACATTCACGGGCACTGGAAGTTAATACATGTATAAATATATAGTATGTGTATGTATAAAAAAAGAAGGGTCTTTTTTATACATACACATAATATATATTTACATTAACTTCCAGTGCCCGTGCTTTCATTCAGTCAGAAACATTTTTCACCAAAATTACTTACAGATCACTATCGTTAGGTTTACGAAATGCATGACAAGTCACAATGATAATTAAGAGTATTATATGTTATAGAAAGTTCATACGCACCTGTATCTATAATGAAATGATATTTAAACAATATGAATTAAAAGTCTTTTAAAAATTGTTTGGAGATCACTTACCTTTCCAATACACCCACCACGTCTGCTGCAGCAGTGACGTCAAAAATGATGTACATTTTCATCCGATAAAAGACAAAACCGGCCCGGAGACAAATACGGAATTATTTTAATTTTACTCAAGAAGTAAGCCAAGCCCAAAAGATTTAAAATGAAAAGAAAATGAATTCATTCTTTTTCAATTTTGTCTGATAAATGCATTATTACAGAAAAAAAATTGTGAAAGTTTTTTTTAGAAGGGAAAGGGGGGGGGGGATAAACAAAGTAAAACTTTACATGAGTAAAATTTTACTAACATTTACAAATTCTTTTGAATTAATGTACATACACATATGAAATAAAACTTGACATGTGTATAACATATGTATATGAATACACATATATTTTATATAAATTAGACATGCATAATTCATCTGTATTTTCGCACACATATATTACATATATATAATACGTGTTATACATGTGTGGTGAAAAACATGTGTTTAACATATATATTATCTCACAGGTGTATAACATGTGTATATTATATATGTTTTACATATAAATGAAACACATATTTTACGTGTGTTTATTTACACACATGTATTACATGTATAAAACATGTGTTGAACACGTGTGAAACCAAACATATGTTTAACACATGTGGACATTTTTCCTGTGTACCGGGTATTCTTTCGAAGCAGATTTAATTCAAAATCATTCACGTGAAGAAGAAAACTCCCCCTTGTCTTGATTTATATTGACGACTCATCAGGGTTATTTCATTCGTATGTCAACTCCATATATCCCATTGAATGCGAAATAAAGACACTACAGAGCCTAATTTTCATAATCATACTGTGTTATGTATACTGTCAATATACGTCAATGGCCAACTAACAAGTAGCTATAAGACAAACGGGACGACTTCGGCTTTTCCAACGTCAAATTTCCTTATATGTAGTGACATTTCCCTTTCCTCTGCTTTTGGCATTTATAGTTTATAGTGTCTCCCAACTGATTCTTAAACTAAGAATGGTTAATATCTAAACCGGCTACTGGAAAATTAATTGATATTGCATGGATTTCAACAGTATCAACAAACGTCATTTATACTGTATGAACACAGGCACTTGTTTCGGAAATAGATTTTTAACCCATAGTATAATAATAACGCATTACTATACTATGGGTTAAAAATTTATTCCTGAAACAAGTGCCTGTGTGTATGGGCTAAAAGCTATTTATTTTTTACTACAATGATTAATTTTGTTTTTAAAAGTTAATGTTTATTTCTCTATATGTTAAATTTTGGTTAGATCCTAAAATCTGCAAACAAAACATATGAAAAAAATATGTACTTAAAGTTATTGCTTAAAATATTGATATTGTTTCAACTAAAACGAGAAAAGAAACATTGTAATTTAATACAAGTATAAATTGATTTTGCTAAATAATCTAGAAATCAGAAAAATAGGTGACAATTTTCATTTATAGAGTCAGCAGCTCCACCTCAGCTTTATGCTGATATACATTGATAGTTTTTTTTTTAAAATTTCAATACAAAGACGTATATTATGTTAAGGGGATATTGACAGGGGATTTTAGATAAAAGAAATCAATGAGTGATTAGTATTCTAAAATACGTAATCCTAAGAATAAATTAAATATCAAGGTTAATATCATGCACTTTGATTTTATGTATTCTTATCTAAATGCAAGGTTAATACTATTCTTTAAAAATACAGAGACTTTACCTAAAAAGTTGACTTTATTTTTTTTTTTAATTTTTTTTTGGTATTGGTTTCGTAAATTTGCGAATTACTGATGATTATTTATTATAAAGATCTCCAATGAAGTTCTTTTCATGGACAGTGGTTTAGATAATGTAACGATTTCTTTTATTAAGGATTTGAATTTACTTATATTTTAGGAATGGAATATATGGACATAACGAGCAGCAAACAAGCTCAAAAGTAACAATACAAAATACGAGCAGAGCAAACACGGATTTACAAAACATTACAGGTGGGATCAGCCGTGCAATGGAGGAGTGAGTATCCCCTGCTGACCTGCGACTGGTCACAATTCCGTGTGTGTATAATGGCCTAACAATTAGAATTAAAAAAAACAAAACATCAGACCTCATATGACATAATTATAAATAATATTTGGTGACAAGGTCATTGTATCGTCCACGAAATGAGGACTTAAAACAAGACTGCTAATAGACTTGTTTCAGCATCTTGATTGTCAAATACTTGACTTGTTTTAAGAAATGTTCATACATGCTCTTGCGTATTGAATCAACTGAAAGATGTAAGCCCTCTATGCAGATGATGAAGATATATTGCTTCATAAGTTTGAGAAGTTTGAATTGGAAGAAGGAATGAAATATATGGAGATACGAACAGTATTCAAGATCAGAAGTCCATAAAACAATATAAAATAGGAGCAGAGCAAACATGGACCTCCAAAACATCAGAGATGGGATCAGGTGCCATGGAGGAGTGTGCATCCTCACAATTATAGAGGATCTAAAGTTTCACCAATACCCATTTTTCCCAGGAGTAGCTCCTGGTTAGAAAATAGATTATATAATACACAAATATTTAAATAAAATCAATGCAGAATTATTTGTAATCAAACTGTTTCTTAATTCTTTTTTGCAGATATGCTTTTTTTAAACATTTTTTTTGGTAAAGGTATCATTATTCATTAAAAAGCATGAGAGAATGTTATCTAAATTATTTTTATAAGAGAGAATAATTCAAAGTAATATATTATTTATTTTTGAGATAACGATATTATGTCTATAAAGCTAAATAAATAAATAAATAAATAAATAAATGAATAAATCAATCAATCAATCAATCAATCAATCAATCCTTATCATAAATACATATCAATAAGAAATATTCTTATAAATAAGAAATACACAAAACGTATCTTTATATACGTAGTTGTTTTTATTTTCCCAATTTGATTTGTTCAAATTGAAAAATAAAACTCCCAGGAATTTAGCACATTATTTGGTTTTAAATAAAAAAGAAACTGAAACTTTTTTTTATCAAATGAAAAAAAAAAATTGTTATATACATTTATGTATATTCATATAAGCAAAAAATGTTGTCATGTATATGTTATCTTTGTTGGTGTGACATTAAAATCAAAACAAAACCAAAAAGATAAGGCATGAAATTTTCCCATCTCCGCATAACGAGCACATTATATTAATGTCTTCATGTTAACATTCAATGTCGCCAAATGAATCTATACGTATTTTTTTTTTATACCTGGATGACAATAGAAAATATGATCTGAACATGTCACATTTGAAGTCTAATGCAGCATGTACAATGGCAATAAAATTTAGAAGTATCAAATCGTAGAACAACAATTTTTGTTGGGAGATCTATTATTATTTATTTCATTAACAATGAGCCAAACCTACGAGACACGTGGTGAAAGATCAAGCTCACGTGAGAGTTAGCGATAATTACATTTTATTCAATTGAACATATGGCGGGATCCGCCCCCTTTTTATGTTGGACGGAAGACTCTGCCGCCTTCAATTACACTAAAATTACCGTACCAATTAAAATCCGCAGTCAAATAAACGACACAGAGAGTCCTAAGCCGCTTTTAGAAGATAAGAAGTATCTTTTCATTGCCGGAAAGTATCGAATTTTCCCCTAGCGGTTATTCCGGGGATGTAGCGATGGCTACAACTTCTTCCTAATTAGAACAAAGAGACAGTTGGATTCCTTAATTCCTAAAACCATCTTAAATCGACAAATCGTTTTGTATAGAGCTTATTTTTCATCTGTCTTGCATGGAATTAGAGTTTGTCATTTTACCAAGAATAATAATAGGCGAGTCACAACAAATCATTACCTTAACAAAATTAAATGAAATAGCTTTCTACGCCATTTCAAGAACATGTTTAAGGTATGATATATAACAAATTGCTAATCGCAAAATTTCTATTTTAGACAGTTTCTTATCTGGTGGTAAGGTAGGTAGTAATTTCCTAAGGTCGGCAAATGCGTAATTAAAAGCCTCCACCCTGACCCGCTCCCTCGTGGCGTGGGCGGTCCGGTATTTCTGTGTGGCCCGCCGTCTCCGGCGCCTCTCCTCCCTGGTCAGGGTCAGATTCTCTTGGTCTCGACTCTTTCGGTGCTTGATGCCCATATCTTGATAAAGGAATACAGAATCCTCTGTTTCACTTTCTGTCATATATGTCTTTCTTTCTTCCAAAATCGAAATTGGTCCCTCAACCATGAAGGATTCTGAATAGATCTTTGAGTTTATTTCTCCAAAATCTTTCATCTAAAAATTTAAAGATTTATTAATTCTGATACAAACAAATGTAATCAAAAGTGCTTGGATATATTCTCATTGTACCTTATATCTTGAAGAACATTTGCGAAAGAATTTCGAGAGATTTGGCTATTACATTTTGTCTCAAAAAGGGACAAAAAAGAATACAACTCAAACACATGTATATATTTCCTAGTTTACAGACAATTTTACCATTTAATAAGACACTTTTTGATAATTTTTTTTTGATATATTAAGAATGATTTGGTGGTCCCCAACTTAAAGCAAAGATAAAGGTTAGTACTAAAATGCTCTCTATTTTACTTGAAAATGAACTTTGAAAATAAGAGGAAAAGTTGAATGAATTTCATTCTTTTACTGAGCTTTCTATTCCCAAAGAAAGTTCACAATTAAAGTATTTAATCATTAATTAGTGCATGTGCCTTGCGGAAGGAACCTTGGGTGATATTAAATTATACCTGTTGTCACCCTAATGACAAAATAATCTAATGAGGCAGAGTGTGTGAGAGTTAGTGAGTATTTTATTAGATCGGGTTTACTAATTCTCGCGGACAGAGGGTCCCCAGACAGTAATACACCACACAACCATTATTGTTGAAGACTGTCATTGTTAGAAACATGTACAAGACTTCTCTTTATGTCAGAAGATGCATCCCATTTCCAAAAGAAAGGTATGCATGTTAAAAAAAAATTTAAAATATCAATATTCACCATACATCCTAGATAGTTTTTAAAGTTATTTTTTATTTTTATTTTGGTAAATGTATATATTAAAAATTACACAGAAAGAACGCGATTCCCTCATTTTAGATTAGAGCCTCAATATGACACGAAACAGATATACATAATCACTGGTAAACGGAATGCTTAATTGTACAGGAAATAGAATGGAAATATATAAAAAGAAAGAAAAATGCAAAATATACCATTTCTTACAATGTGTCAGTTCTTTGAATTTATCATTGAATGATAAAAATATTATCTACCGTTTTACATTTTGTTTTTTTGCGAAAAACATTTTAATTTCATTCAACATTAATTTTGATTTCTTACAGGCGTATTTATAAGAAACATATATAGTTATCCCTGCAGAAACCAAGAAGACCGGACTTGGGCATTTTCCTGGTCTGTTTGCTGATAAATAAATCAACTTAATCAGGGAACACACACCAATACGTGTCAAACTAATTAGTAATATTTGGCCGGGTCTAATTTGTGTCGGAACCGTCAGATGAGGGTCTGACGCCCACTAATCATTATCACACCGAACTGTTTCAATAGTTTATTCTTCATTTTGAAGATGCCCCGAAGATTAAGAAAATAACCCATAAAACAAAAAAAAAAGAATTATTTAAAACCATAAGAAAACATTTAAAAAAAAACAACAACAGCATTTAAAATGAAAATCACGTTAAATATCGAATGCTATAAAAAAAGGTTAACAAGGGATGCTATCTTCTCCAAAGCACCTGACCCCCCCCCCCCTCTGTTGTGTCTAGGGGACCGTGTTTGTCCCACATCTCAAACTTGTAATGTTTTATGAGATATTTAGGCATGATCACTGTTCATTTTCTTAAATGTAACACATTAAGATTACGATCAATATTCATGATCAAAAGTCCATAAAACAATACAAAATAGACCTCCAAAACATCAAAGGTGGGATCAGGTGCCATGGAGGAGTGAACATTCTCTGCCGACCGGTCACACCCGCCGTGTGCTCCTTGCCATGATTGGGAAACAACGGAAAAATCCGTCGTCAATTCAGTGCATAAATAATGGACTAACAATTAGTATGAAAAACGTCAGTCAGCATTTTCGATGATTGATTGTATTTGCTGACAAGGTCATTAAACTGATTTAATAGAAAAATCTCAAATGTATATTATTCCTACTTGGTTTTACTTAAAGAAAATAAATACTAATAATAATTTTAAATATGAAGAGCTTTAACAAAAAAAAAAAGAACTGCTTTTTCGTGTCAGT